GATGGAAGCGTGCCTATACAAGAGGCTTCTAGACCACATAAGAGTAGGAAAAGCTTGGATGACACAATTGTTGGTTCAAATATAAAAATTTGATGGCCAGAGGATTAGAGGTTTTATGATAGCACTTTGATTCTTTTGATCGAAGTAGAAGAATGCATAAAATTTTGTATGATTGTGATGTAGAGGTGTTGCTCCTAAAGGAGCAGCGGGAGTTTATTGAAGGTGAAACCAATATGCATGGAGTGCAAGAAAAGGATGAAACTGATGCTGCAGACATTCTTACCAAGGGACTTGACAACTCTACCTTTCTGGGACTGATTACCAAGCTGGAAATGAAAAATTTGTATTCCTCAGCTTGAGGGGGCATGTTAAATCCCAACCGTCCCTTGGTCCTTGATTCCAAGGCTAGCATGAAGATTCGTGGGAGGCTCACCTGGATAACGCTCTTAAATATCGACCATCCCTTGTCCCTTGATCTCACAATCAACATGGGGATTCATGAACGGCTCATTGGGTAGCTAATTTAGGAAGAATTATATTAAGACGATTATGCATGATTCTGTAGTTATTTGTTTCATTATTAAAACATCTTGTATAGAATTACAAATATGAATAGTTTTGTATAATAAAATGAAGCATTTTCCCTCTAATTCTCTAAATTTAACATAGATCAATGCCATCATGATCATGTAAATACTTTGGAATATAAAAAACCAAAAATATCCATAACCTTGGAGCACATGTCACAAACAACAATAAAGGCACATTTAATTTGATGTGCAATGAAGTGTTGTGGGGGTAAATAAAATGTCATTTGATTTTCGGATAAAGGCAATATAATAAGACAATTAGTATTTGTTGTATAAAATCAACTGTAATTGAATTTCAAAGGGGCAACAATTACACTAGTCGCATGGTAGTCAATTTGCCATGTTTTATGCCAGATTTATTGGCACGAAAGTGTATGCACATGCTGTTACTTTGGATGGAAGAACGATAATCCTAGTGCCCTTAAATTAAAAAATGCACGAGTTGTTTCTCATGCTGTGAATGTAATATATATCATGGACCAAGAGTGTCCTAATAAGATATAAGTTATATTCAAGGACAGCACATCACGTCAGCTCATGTCTAAACAACTGCCAAATTGGATAGACATGGGGCATCTCTCAACCTCATGTAGAGGTATCTTGCTGGTCCATGTAATTTAATAAGGCTCAGGATGAAGTTCAGTATGTAAGATGATCCTAATCATGACTAGCTTAGATATTAAGTTCGTAGTACTCTCTTTATCAATTACTAACTTACGACACTTCCATTATATGTAGTATAAGAACGGAAGATGTGAAATTTCTTCCAATCCGCAACAATAAATGGACTATCATAAAAAAGCCTTACATTTGTAGTGGAATCTCCAAGTCATGGAAAACGTGGTGCCACTTTACGTTCCATCATAGCCGTTAGGCTATAGAATAAAGCTTTTTTATATGGAGATGAAATTAGGCAAGGCAAGATAAAAATGTAGCATGAAAATAATAGGATTCTTCAGCATTGGCTCTCTAAGAATAAAATCATAGAATATGCCTTTGGAAATATAAATAAATAAATTTACAAGCAAGATACTTGATTGCAGCACGCAATCAAAACTTCACAAGCAGGTCTATAGTGCAAATATGAGGTTTGCTATCATCAAAATGTTGTTTTTCTTATTATTTCCCTTATATTTGATCCCAATAGATCACACATGAACTAATACTAAATTTGGTGGAGACTCTAGTCTTAGAAACCCTGATAAAAATAAAGGGACTCAATAGGGTAGTAAATATGTAAGAATCAACTTGTGAAGAAAATTGGAATGTATGTCATCAGAATCAGCCTAAGTGCCAAGCATAAGAATTATAGATAATCAAGTGAAGAAAAATAATAATCATACAATTTTAATAAGAAAGAGGAGTGTTGCCCAAAAATGCTAAGAGGGATCAAAACTAGTCTGAGATTAAGAAGGATAATGGGATTAGGAGGGAGAAAGATGAATTGTATAAAGAGAGGGGGAGGGATCAATTTAAAATGTCATTCATTAAATTTAACTCATCCAAATCCCATAACATTCTTTTATAGAAATAAGGATCATGATTATTACAAATAAAACTAAATAAAATGGAAACTATATAAACATCCAACAAATAGATTGGACCTAATCTATAAAGGATAAACATTAAATGAAAATACATCAAAAAGCTAAATAAGTACTACAGTAAGCCAAATTTGCAATTGGCACTAGATCTAATCAAGTCTAAATCATGGTCTAATTTAAGCAATTTGTCTAGGAGACTTATACCACATCACATCTCTTCCATTTTGAAAGTGATTTCTAACTTCATAATTGAAACAACAATTTTTTTTTCCTTTTACACAAGCTCGATCATCATACCCACGACAAAACAATCAAAAGTTCATCTCCAATGTTACAATTCTCATTTATATCAGTTCAACATTTGCATATAAAATTATTTTATATTCCATGTATCTTCCACATCATAAAATGGGTGCCATATTTCTCCTAGAAGTAATTCCTTCTTCATGAATGAAATAATAAACTTTTTTTCCTTTCCATTAGATCCAATTGTTATAAAAATATTATTTTTTAGGTGAGAAAATTAGCTCAAAAGTTGAAAATCCTTATATACAACAATTATTTTTAGGAGAAATTGGCTCAAGTGTTAAACACAAAAGCCAATAGCAACAAAGGTGAGAAGAGACTGAAATCCAAGAGACAAATTATAACCCTTTGTTGAAATCTTCTATGAGGAAGCATTCTCTTCCAAGAGAGCTACCCAAACTAGCCGAGCTTGGAGTTATAAATATAAACATATAATATTAAACACTTCAAGTAGATTGGGATATCTCTTCATTTGTATATAGTGATAAAATTAATTGATGATCTTTACTCAAGGGAACTCTTTCATGGTTGATTAATTCAAAGTCATTCATTAATGAGATTGGTATTAACAAACATTGATACCGAGAAGATTCTAAGTGTATTTAGAAGGTCGAGAGTTTGGAATGCACTAATGAAAGGTCATTCATTGAACAAATGGTCATTGGGTAAACTCTTCTACTTTTACAATTACTACCATACATTTTTATTTATATCCATAGCTTGGCCAGTTAGGGGAGCACTCCTAAAAAAGGTATTTTCGTATACTTAAAAGTAATTCAATAAAAGAGCTATAATTTCTCTTTTCATTTCCAATCTCCTCTTTCTTTGTGCTATTATAAGCTTTTGCGTGTAACTCAATAAGAATATGTCATAGTTTGAGCTTCTCAAAATTTTTTATCTCCTTCCTGACCATGTTCAATTATCTTGATAAATTTTGAATTTCTTAGTTTACCAAATTTTAATAGATATTAGCACCTTCATTATACAAGAGCCAATAACAATTGAAAACTCATCTTAAATGTTTTCAGCATTCATTTATGTTTGTAGTTCAACATTTGCATAAAAAATGCTTTTATTTTCATTTTATTAAGAATATTGCAAAAGATGTACTTGGAGTTTCAAAGGGAAAAGCTCCTAATAGTAAAAATAGTTGGTGGTGGAATCCAAATGTGCAAGAAAAGATTAAAAATAAGAAGATTTGTTATAAAAGTTAGTTTAATTTTAAAAATTCTGATAATTGGGAAAGATATAAAGAGACTTGTAAGGAATCTAAGAAAGCAATATGCGATGCAAAGTCTTTAACTTTTAGTGATTTATATAATAGATTAGATACTAAGGAGGAGAAAAATATATGTATAAGTTAGCCAAACAAAGAGATAGGAGTAGTAAGGATTTAGATCAAGTGAAGTGTATTAAGGACGAAGATCAAAAAATACTTTTCTTAGAAGATGATATTCAACAAAGGTGGATATGATATTTTGCTAAACTATTTAATGAAAATTGTGAAAATAAGATTGACTATAGTGACCTTAGCATCCTAAAAAAAAATAAAGAGCTCTTATTTTTGTGGTTTAGATTTGACTTATGTTAAGAGAGGTAGAGGCAGACCTAAAAAGACTTGGTTAGAAAATATTAGGAATGACCTTTCTTTATTAGATTTAAACGAGAATTTGACCTTTAATAGGACACAATGGAGAAAAAGGATTCATGTAGCCGACCCCACATAGTGGGATAAAGGCTTGATGTTGTTATTGTTATTGCTGCATGTATCATCAACATATGATCCATCAAGTAGCATACTTCTCCTTCTGGAAGCAATTTCTTCTTTAAATACGAAATATAAAACCTTTCCTTTTTCCAACAGATCTAGCATCATATCAGAGCCAAGAACAATCAAAAGTTCATGAGTTTTAACTTAGCAACTCTCATTTATGCTCATGGTTCAATACTCACAAACAAGGTCTCCTAAAACTCCAATAATTTTAATTTTAAATTCCACCAAATGAGGTGCAAATTAAGCGCATCATGTTGGAGGGGTATTACAGGTAATTTCATGAAAGTAAACAGGGTCGAGATGAGTCGTATAGCGGTATATTGTTCAAAGAGAATTAAAAAAGCAGTATTGGTTCTTGAAAGGTTATGCCAGTTCATATAATCAAAGTCTAGGGACAGAACGTGCATATATGGTACAAAGGGATGGACCAAATGAAAGTATTTTTTATAACTCAGTAGAGTAACCATTTGTTTTAGTTATTGGATAAAACAGACATTTGTTTTCCATTATGAGATTAATGATGCCCAAATCTAGAGAATCCTATAGTTGTTCTCTTTCCTTCAACGTAGTTAGACGTGCAATCAATTATATTGCTGCCATGACTCAGCCCTGCATTTTTGTTTCTTTGTAGCATTACATCTTTCAATGTAGCGCTCTCAAATATTATAAATAAGTTCTCGGTTCACGTAATCAGCACCAGAACTTGGAAGCATTTACTAGTTTTTTTTATCAATTTCAAAAATTTGCATGTTATCTCAGAAAGAAGTGGTTTTTTGAAATGCTCACTCGTAGAGCAGGATTAGCATCTGGATGAAACACTGACAGTGTACTCATTGAACTAACAAGAAGACCCATTGGGTGTGCATCATGAGGCATTCCTTGTATAATATCCTGTAAAAATAAAAATACAAACGAAAGAGTAATATTAGTGAAATTAAAGAACAATATGTCTACTATAGTTAGTGCTCTGTTTTAGGGCAGCCTTATGGCCAATGACTGGAATGTAAGGAAAATAGGCACAAACCAAAAGACCCTGAGGAACTGCAGAATGTTGAGAAATAGTGAACTCCCAGTCCGCCAATTGGCTCTTAGAAGGCAAATTCCCATACACTGGAAATAAATACCATTAGCAGCTGATAGAAACTATAGGCCCATCAATCTAATTCTATCTAGCATTAACATATATAGCTTACTTAAAAGAAACGCAACTTCAAGAAAAGTGCTATTCTCAGCTAATTCCTCAATGGGGTAGCCCCTGTATCTAAGAATGCCCTCATCTCCATCAATATAACAGACAGATGACCGCACTGGAGCAGTATTAAGATATCCAGGATCATAGATTTTGAGTCCCTTGTCATCTTTTCCAGTTGTTATCTGAGATAATTGTGAAAAAGACATAAAATATGAAGTAGCAATCCTAAAGTTTTAACAAGAGAAGCAAAGGACGAAAGAAAATCAGGACACTAACTATAAATCAATGACATTGTTTGATAACAGTCAAATTTAACCAACGGAAAGGTGAAATAAGTTGTGATTTAATAAAGATAAATCCATTATGAAGCATATGAGATAAGGGGCTAGCCATTTTTCATTCATAAAGGTCATGATGCAACAGCATATATTATTCATTGCAAAGGTGAATATCTACCACACAGAATCAAATGATGATGAAAATCACAATCCCAATAAATGTTATCCTCACTGTTATTTTTCTCTCACAGAACTAGAGGAAAATTCTCTTATAAAGTCTATTATCATAACAGACAAAGCCTTATGCAAACTATTAAGATAGCTTTTGTTAGGAAAAGCACCCAACTTTATGAAAAAGCATCAACTATGAGTGAATATGGTGAACCACAAAATAATGCTAAAAGAAATCAACTACCACAAGGAGAAAATCAAATTTTATGTGGTTCAACTTAACCAACCTATGTTCAAAAAAAAAGAGAGAAGATCATATCCACTAAAAATAGATCCACAAATGATTTTAAGAATAAAGGGGTACTCACCAACCATTCCAAGTATCACAATATGCCCACTCTCAACAAAGAAAAAAGAAACCAAAAGTCCCTCAAGGAAAACAAAAGAGAAAACAATATAAGAGATATAATAAATAAAGAAGATTAAACTAAGAACAAATATCATTCACTTCAGAAGTTCCTCAGGGGAGTACCTTAATACCTCAGTTATGAATTCAGCTCAAAAATTTTTAATACAATGGTACTTTTGATTCATCAGAATGAAATGAACTTTTCTTATTTTCTCATTTATCTTACTTCCTTCTCTCTCTTCTCTTTAATACCATCTATTCTCAATTATAAATTCTCCTATAGTACTGCTTAATCAATAGATGCCGCCCAAGTCAAATGTTTACAATAGAATACTTTATGAATGATAGCATAATTAGTTGTAATGATTTATTAGGCAGAATTTCTAATAATTGAAAAGGTTTATATTAAAAGGATATCCTTATAATTGAGGAGATTATTTCAAAATTTTATTTTCTTATTGTCTCCTTTTGTATGTCTATAGTCACCCACCAAACAAAACAGTAGAAAAGTATCTTGAGATCAAAGTTCGGATGATAAATTGAATTTTGAAGGTTTCTAATTCAAATATGCCTTGAGATTCCTGCTAGATCAATGTAATTTTTGGTGATGTATAAGTCTTCTTTTATTCAACAAACAAAACAGCAGAAAAGTATCAGACGAGTAATATTCACTGACACTGAGGTGAAAGTAACCCTAATCAAGCAAAGGCTAATATCTTAGGAAAAAACCATCTACATAAGAGATGCAGTATATTCGAACAGCAACAAAAAATTAGAAATACAGACTCTCCACCTTTTACTATATTCACGCCAAACCTTTTTAAAATCAACAGCTTTAACAGTCCCTTCCTCCGAAATATCGAGGTCGTACTGCTTCCCCGTCCTCGAATCGGTCACTACCAGCCTACCGGCGAGATTTCCCGGCGGCCGCACGATCTCCTGCGCAGAGACCGGGGATGCCTCCAAAACCGCCAAGACACCGTCGGCGGCTGCGGCGCCGATGACGTGGGAGGTGAGTACGGCCAGCCGCCCGCGCGCCATGGCTGTTGGATCAAATCTTCCTTCCATCCTGCGCTGAAGGAGCAATCAAAGCCCTAACTTAAGCTCGAATCTCAAATACTGGGCAAGGTAGGAGAAGCTTTGAGAGAGAGAGAGAGAGAGACAGAGAGAGCGAGAGAGACGGAGCTTATATGAGTCATATATAGTTCTGCGTGGCAGAGAAGTTGTAGAGGCGTAGCGGATTTGTTTTTCTGGTCAATGCTGATAAGAAAAAGTAATTACCGAAAATAATTTATATTTAATTAATTAATATTTTATTTTAAAAAAAATAATTATAAAAATATATATTTTTAAAATTTTGGCTGAGTAAAAATCTTTAAAATTAAAAAAATAAATAAATTAAGCTGCCCAAACAAAATCATTATATTTTGCTCAAATATTCTTTCCTCATGAAATTTTAAGTCACATTTTTTAATTATCCTAATTTTTTTATTAGAATGGTAAGGTAAAATAGAAAAATTCAACAATTATACTATTTCGAATATACCATCTTTAAAACGAGAAAAATTTTCTAACAATTGAAAAAAAATTATTTTTGCTTTCAAATATTTTATTTTTGTCAAAATTTTCTTATATGATTTTTATGCTGAAATCTCATTTGCTTATCAATTATATAGTTTCAATTCATTGCCTATTTTGCAAAATCATTATATTTTTCGGGAGATTTATTTTAAAAGGAGCATTCGGCAGATGAAAATTAGGCGAAGGAGTGTTGTTGAATTTTAATTTGAAAAGGAGCTGATTGTAAGTTTATATCTTATTAATTTTTAATAAGATCATACTTTTTTATTTACATAAAATATGTATAATAAGGTTTTAACCAAATTATATAAGAGCTTAGTATCATATTTGTATAATAGCTTAATATCATTTATGTATAAATTCTTTTAGGTGGACTTGAAATTTTTAGAATAGTTTTCAATCATTTTTTATAACCAAATATATTATGTTTTCTCAAGGTAAATTGATATATTAAAAATTCATGTAATTATTAGTTCATATTGCATTAAATTCATCTAGTTTAGTATTTGATTTGTAATATTTTATGAATTAGGTCAGACTGTTCAGAGTATAGGATCCTTTTTAGTAAGGCGCACTTTGAATTCCTCTGGACATAGGAACCTTTTAATCTTGTCTCATTATTCATTAATATGATCATGTTGCTTGCAGCAACTTATTATATCAGTTAACCTGTAAAGTTGTAAAGTCCAATCAAGCAATATTTAAATTTCAAGCAGTATGTGAAGGTGAATATGTATAACCTCTGTCATTTATGGGGTTTATGTACATTTGAAGTTGAGTTGTGAATATTTTAATTGCTACCTTCAAAATATATTAATCGTGTATTGAGAGGATTCAAAGCATTCCCAATAAAGAAAGGTTCGATGATGCTTGTTGAAGAATGCATGCTTTTCTAGCACAACCCGGTGATAGTCCATTAGAGCAAAAGGTAAATGCGAATGAGATATTTAGATGTTATGTTTATGAATAGTCAAAAGATGAGAATGATGTCCTCTAAAGTGTGATTGCTAAGATGATAAGGGTAAAACTTTATAAGACGAGAGATTTTATAAATACCGACGATTGAAAATATCTTTAGATTAGATTATTGGAAGATAATGGTCATCTCGTCAGTCCTCATTTCTTGTATATGGGCTATCATCAGATGAAATGTGAGAGAGGCAATGGTCATTCACCAGATGTTGACTACAATAACCTTAACATTGAGCATATGAGTTTATATCATCATTGGTTTCCTAGTTTGGATGAATTCATTTTGGATTTCCTTAATAACCAGGTGAAGGAGTTAGTTATTACCTAAAGGCAAATGTTTAAATGACGCTGACTAACAACACCTTTAGTATGATTTTGAATTTCAATTCAAGTACTGCCCAACGCAAACCCAACTCCAAACTTGGCTGCATATGTTGTTTAAGAAATAGGAAATATATGTACAACTATGTATGTTTTCTTCTGTTGTATTTTCTTCACCATGCTTATTAAAGGTAATATCTAGTGGAGATAAAGTAGCATTATGTACTCCTTCGTCTATCACTTATAGTTCTCTTCTTATAATTTGTATGATGTTATTACTTTATAAATCCTCCTCTATTTTTAATGAAGGTTAGTAGTTTTACAGTTATAGTAATTTTTTGGCCTAAAATTTTATTCTTTGTCATCAGCTTATATGAAATATTAATATAAATTAAGTTAAACAGTAAATGATAAAATTCATCAGAAGAAGCGTAATACTTTTTTATTCCAAAAATTACAAATACACTATTTAAGAATTTATTAAAAGTTAGAGTTATAAGACATTAGTAGAAAATATACAAACATAATACACATAAATGCCAAGTAGCCTCATCTTTGGCATGGAATTGCGTCTGCCAAGGGTATATATGCTAGGTAGTCACCGACCCCTTCGAGGAATATGTGCCCCATCATCATCCTCCTCCTGTGGTGTTCTTATTCAATCTAGAATGTTCACAATAGATGAAGTGTATGGGTCCACTTATTATCTCTGGTTGACATCAAGTTTTCCTTTGAGAGTTTGAAACTGTACACCAACCGAGATAAAATAACTTGAAGTCAGTCGGATCGACTCCCCAAGCCATTGAAGGTCCACCCATCTCAAAGGTTGATATCATGTATTGAGACCTAGAGCTGACATACATGGAATGCCTCAGTACTTAAAAGTCCTCAACACATACTTAACTGTCTACAATTGTCTTGAAAGCATCTAAAATTGATCTCCTCAACCCTTCTACATGGGTCTTGTGTTTGTGTGTTTGCTCAGTAGGGGCGAATGATGCTCCTCTCTCGTAAATACGCCATAGTCAATATAAACTGACCTATGAATTATGCCAGCTATCTAGATAACATCATCCACTACTTACATTGAGGCTGCATTTTTCCCTTGACCGCCTGTAAATGAATGGAGCATATCCCGACTACGAACCTAATACTTCGCTTGTGACAATGATTACAATCAATTTGAGGGAATCATAGATTTTATAATTGAATAATTACTCATAGTAAGTTAACATACCAATAATCTTTCCCCGGGTGACCTTGGATATAAAATCTCTTGATCCTCTATCGATGGTCTCAATAAGTAGATTGACGCCCATAACCTATACCATCTAAGATATGTGATTAGTTCCTGATTTCTACTGCCCACCGGTATCTGCACTTGAGTGATATAAGCCCGTCAATTATTTCATATCACAATATAGGCATGGTGTTTATGCATCCAATCAACATGTACCTGACAACATCCATCTATCCTCCTAAAAGTGAGCTCAATGGGTTGAATGTCAGTACACTGAATACCACAAAATTGCCTTATAACCTTGTCAGCCAAGTGCCACTCGACTCTCTTCCAACTAATCTACGGGACATCTTCCATCCATATATCATATATGACGTGACAAATATGAGGCAAGCTCGCCATAATAGCCTCCGTACATGAATTCATGGTGACCTAACTCTATCATAAAGCATCTAACTTATCTATGTACATCATCGTGTTGCTCACAAGTACCTCACACATCATATCCTCTGCCAACTTACAAGTGCAAATTTATGTTATATGAAATTATATCAGTGAAGTTTTCATGTAATTACATAAGAGGAAGTGACATGCACCCAAGCGGTTTATTACCACCGCTTAAAACTGCTTGCAACAATTACGTGCACTTAGAGGATGCACTAGAGTTACGAATTATTACATCTACATGTATATGTGTGTGGACCAGTGATTTCCACCTTAAAATCCCTATAGGACATATCAAATACTTGAAACTCATGGTTATTAATCACGATCAATTCAGAGCATCTTTGTGCCTCCACATTGCAATTTCAACCACTGAAACTATTCTTGGAACGAAGATCGTATTCACTGCAGTCATCCACTATGCAACCTTCTATGAATGTTTGATGAACAAAGTCACGAGGTTGTAGTAAATGAATGGTACGAGGCCTTGGATGGGTAGGCCTCGGGCACGCTGAAAAACTCAATTGAAGCATTCAAATACATTTATAGTCATTATTCAATAACAACAACCCCCATCATAGAGCAAGCCCCATTTGGATACACCACGTTGTACAAAGCCATTTGAATGCCTCCTTTATTGTTTGGATATCGTTCATGTTACATTCAAAAAATGTTATGTCATCAATATTTCCTGCATATTACATTTTGGCACAAAGCGACTCAACATCGCCCCGCATAGACGTAATGCCTTCTTCAAGTTATCCCATAACTGATGTATATAGTGTCGATGTACAGCATTGGAGAATATGTCACGACAACCTCTTACAAAGCCTGCATGCTTATCTGATACAATGCATAGATCATCCCTTTCTCTGACTAATGTGATCAGATCATGCAGTTGTTGCAGAAACCATCCCAATGCATGAATGTTCCATCAAGACTTAAAATAGGTTAAAAGAACTTCCATCCCGTAACACAAGGCCCAAAAGCCCATAACAAACTTATGAATCGTGATTGTGCAATATGTCAAATATTGTAAACTATTTGAATGATGACAATTGTTAAAACTTCCATCAAATGATAAAGTGATTGGAAAGACTCCTCTTAGCTCCTAAATATGGACTTTATGGCCTTTCTTTGTGTGTCATAGGCCTTCACATATTAGACCTTAATATCAATTTTTTTTAATTTCATAAGAGCAATTATCTTACAAGACTTCATGTCAAGTTATTGTAGGAGCACAACCGTAATGTAATGACAAATGAACTTTGATGTGTAGTTATGATGATCGCTCGATAAAACTGCTTGTGTACAGGTGTGTGGAGGCCCACAGGTAGAGATTTTTCATAGGCCACCAAGGTGCTTGCTGCTATAAGCATGAATGCGTCATAAGCACGAATTGTGCATATTGTTATGCTGAGCACAAATTACACTCAGTCTACTTTTGTTTGAAGTCGATTTGACAAACTCAACATTACAGACGATGGACCAACCACTTATTGCACAACGTAGTGCATCTTTTGTGTGAAATGTAAGTCTATGATATAAATAATTTGGAATAACAACATTGCAAATAGACTGCACGTCGATTGTGGGAAACATCGACTACATCAGTAGCATCTCACTCTTCCATTGATGTGATTAGCTGGACAAAATTGTTGTTTGCAGTCATTTCATCTAGAACGTCTAGACTCCATGTTGCATGCTCTTGAACATGTCCATGCCCCGATATCACGATGTTCTTAGCATTTGTGGCTCAGGTGGCATCATATGCGATATGTTCTCCAGTGGAGTTATCACTTGTTCCAAATGTCTATTGTGTGGTAGTTCTGGTCAAAATTAGCTACTAGGTAGTGTCAAAATGATGTGCTGCATGAATAGTACTCGATTGTTGAAAACTAAAATGTTGGTAGTTCGCATGCATTGAACCGACCTATTCTAATTGTTGCGGCAGATGTTGACTGCTCACTTAAGCTTAGGAGACCATAAAACTTTGTCTTGATAGGCAATCCAATATCGCTAACACTAAACCTCCGTCCATAGTTCACCTCATGGGGTAAACCTAAGTTCTTATTTTTGAACTGTTGAATGAAATTTCAAATAATCATCATCAACTAATACTAAATTGTAAATATAAGAAGGCGACTCAACTTCAATGAAATTGAGTGTAATGAAGTCTGTCATATTCGCATTGATGGTACATAACTCTGCAGGCTCGTCGCATATAATTACCGTGCACCTCGTAGCTTCGATTAATATGAACTTAACAAATACCATCATCAATGACATACGTGGCCGTATATCCACATTATTTCATAACCGACATATTAGAGTAATAATATCGATGGCACAATTGAGATGTAACACTCGAATAATTATATGCTTAAATGCGTCAAGTGTTAAATTCCCATTAATTTCGATTGGACGATGGTTATATGTATAAGTAGGTCGAACGAAATTAATAGCTCTCCTTCGAAGAAAAAAATCAAACATGATATTTTACAAAAGAATATAACTTAGACATCATGTCAACATATCTAAGATGATTACTTGAATTCATACATTCTTTAAATTCATCTACTATGTCAAACGCTAAATAATAATTGCATTAAATTAGGTACTAAAATCTTTTTAACTACTCATCATACAAAACATGATATTATATTAATTCATGAAGTGTTATTAAACCCCATTACACAACACAGTGCTACATTCTAAACTCAATTACTTCAATATTTTTTTAAAATTCATAAATAATATATTTAAATCTACAAAATATATATTCTAAACTAAATAGTATATATTCACAAAAACATAGCTAATTTTTCCAATTTTTTCATGCTATATATTTTAAATTAATAATATTATATTATTAAATTGTATCTCCTCATTTAGCAAATAAAATTTAGATGTAAATGAATAGTATATATTTATGCAAAATTAATTTAAACACAATAAAATTATGCCTCACTTGTATTGCAACTTAAGCAACTTTATTAGGTAACAATGATTAAGAACGAGTTACACTTAGACTTTGTTTGGGATGGCTTTGTTACTGTTTCTTAAAATAATTTTTTTGTGCAAAAATTTTAATTTTTATAATAAAAAGTTACTTTAAGAAGTTGTAAGGAATCTGTCCCAAATGAAGCCTTAAAACCATCTCTAACCGAACTGCATACAATAGTATGTCACCTGTCATTCGCTTCATTCGAATGCTAAATCACACAAGAAAATTCGATAGGTGAACAGTGCGACACCGATATTTGGATTGCACTATTCACCTAAGCTAGTTTTTTTGTATATCAGAATTTGCCGAAGAAGCACGCGAAAGAGGAGAAAGATTGTTATCTTCACATGTAGATGACGAAATTCGATTGCATTTTAAAGTGAAAAATGAATTTTCCGGTTGAAAATACCCTAAACATTTAGTAAGTACTTTCATTAGATATAAATCTTTGATAACCTTCATGTTAACTATCATTTCTTCTCTTTCAAGCTTTAGATAATATGTTAAAATTTTATGAATAAATCATTTCAATACGTTAAAATTAATTATTAAAATTGTTTACCTGCAAATTTTCAACATTTTAAAAATAATTATCAATTATTAAAATTTTATCAATATAACAGAAAATTCTTTCTACAAAATGCTGATCCCATCCATATTCCAAAATTAAAAATATAAACTTAACAAAATTAAAAATCTTAAATTTTTTTAATCTCACACATCTTTATTTTTAAAAAAACCTATACATATATTATAAAAAAAATATCAATTCACCTCTTAAATTTTATATTTACTTTACACTCGATATTTAGGCTTCATTTGAGCCGAATTTCTTATTACTTTTTAAAAATAACTTTTCAATACAATTTTTTTTAAACTATAAATTTTTTACTAATAAACAATATTAAAAAACTATCCAAAATAAGAACTTTTATTACGTCCTCTGACTGGACGTAGCTCTACCGAGTAATCCCAAAAAACACCGAGTTCTAAAAAAAACTTGATATTTTTTTGGATTACTCGGTATTGCTCAGTATTACTCGTTATTTTGTCTTCACATAATGGTATTTCTCATTATTGTTGGTATTGCTCGGTATTTCTCATTTTGTGGATGCGATCTTGGTGCCGTCGTAGGTTCACCAGACCAAATTAAAGTTCACAAAATAAAGAGTTAAGAGCCCTATCTTAAAAATCAATTTATGGTAAAAGCAAGAAAAAAAATCAAACAGTTTTTTTATTGCTTTCTAAAACAACTTTTTAGTCTTGAATTATAAAATTTTATATAAAAAAATCATTGGAAATAACATTAGGAAAACTCCTCCAAACGAAATCTTCGACTTTTAGAAGTGTTTGCAATGCAATATAGGAAAAAAAACTCATAATAGAGCGTCCTTGCCATGAGATTTTGAAAAGCTCAATACAAAACATCCAATCATTCATTCCAAAAAAACAAAAACATTACAAGCAAACACTCAGCCTGTAAATATAAGTACTTAAAAACCTCAAACACAAAACAGAGCTTAATCAGGCTAATCCATGTCTTCATCTTCATCCTCCGGCTCAATCTTCATCCTCTTCACAACCTGCGCAGCATTGTCGCTCACAGTCGCAGTGTCAGGTATCTGTATCAAAATATCAGATTTTTGCCCAGTGGAAGCATTCACCATTCCACCGTTCTTCTCCACCCTGTAGGAGAGCTCCTTCTTCCCCGGCACAACGTCGATGTACACTGTGGAATTCTCATCAATTTCTTCTCTTATTAGCATTCTTGACAGTTCGGTTACCACCCTCTTCTCCAGCCATCTTCTGATAGGCCTTGCACCAAAGATCTGCAAGCATCGCATTAACCAAGACAATAAGCATGCTATTTGAAAAAGAAAAAAGATTTTTTTTTTTTTTCGCTATTGTGTAATATTAAAAGTCAAATTATTATTTAAATCTAATAAAGAAAAATTATTTCTAATATTTTCTAACCAAGTCTTTTTATGTTTACCTCTACTTTTCTTAACATAAGTCAAATCTAATACATTTACTTTCCTAACCAGGTCATCGAAAGGCCTCCGTTTAATGTGACCAAATCATATAAGGCGACTCTCTCTAACCTTATCAAGTATATGCTCATTTCTTATCCTATCTCTAAAGGTAAAGCTACTCATCCACCTAAGCATTCTCATCTCAGCAACACTTAACTTTGTATTATGCTTATATTCTGCACCATAAAACATTAGAGGTCTCAACACCATCTTATAGAATTTTCGCTTAAGTTTGAGGGAGACTTTTCTATCGCACAACAAGTCCGATGTATTCCTCCACTTCAACCATCCAACTAGAATTCTGCTGATAATATCCCCATCTATTTCACCATCACTATGAACAATAAATCCAATATATCTAAGACATGTACTCTTATTAATGAGTTGATCGCCCAAATTCACAATCCCTATTAAAATTAAACTCCATATATTCAGTTTAAAAAAAAAAAAGAAATTTTTTTTTGGAAGTGGAAAATTTTAAAATGATGATCGAATTGAATTAGAATTACTTACAGGGTCATAAGATTCAGAGAGCACAACGTCAAGGGCAGCATCTGTTACGCCCAATGCAATTCCTCTCTCAGCCAAACGAACAGCAACATCTTTCATCTGAAGCCTTGCGACCTTTTTCAGTTGATCATGGGACAATGGATCAAATACTACAATCTCATCAAGCCGATTGAGCAGCTCAGGCCTGAAATGCCTTCTCACCTGAGAATTTAAATAAGAGATTTAAGACATTTATAATTATACAATACACTATGCCTCAGCGCATCAACAACCGAAAATCCCAGTGAAATTAAAAAATGTCGTCATTCATCTCTAATCGAACTCCATTTTGTGTTGTAACCGTCTTTCTCCTCTTCCGCGCATTTCTTCCGCAAATCCGGTAAAGACAGAAATTAGCGTAGGTGAACAGTGCGACGCCATGTTCACCCACAACCAAATAGCAAAAGTTTTGCCGGAGCTCACAAGCGACGTCATTCATGCGTCATTCATGCGTTTGGAGTTCGGTTGGAGAATGCCTCAAAAGTACCCATCAAATAAGAGTGTTCGCAATACATACCTCTTCCATGACTCGCTCCCTGGCTATTTTCATTGAGGAATTGCCTAACATGCCAGCAAGAAGATGCTCAGCTCCGAGATTTGAGGTCATGATAATGACTGTATTGCTGAAATCCACGGTCCTTCCCTGACCATCAGTGAGCCTGCCATCATCGAGCACCTGGAGCAAGGTGTTGAAGACAGATATATGAGCCTTTTCCACTTCATCAAAGAGGACAACACTGTAAGGCCTCCTCCGCACAGCTTCAGTGAGTTGCCCTCCTTCCTCATGGCCAACATATCTAAACCCAGCAACAAAGAACATGTAAGGAAATCTAATTACAAGATAGGAAAGACAATTAAGCAAAGGAATGGCTGTCTTACCCTGGTGGAGCACCAATTAAACGAGCCACTGAATGCTGCTCCATGTACTCAGACATGTCGATTCGAACTATTAGTGTTTCATCATCGAACAATTGCTCTGCAAGAGCCTTTGCAAGCTCTGTTTTTCCCACGCCAGTTGGACCCAAGAACAGGAATGAACCAGTAGGTTGTTGAGGCCTACCAAGACCTGCTCTGGACCTTAGAACTGCCTCTGCCACTGCATCTACTGCTTGATCCTGGCCAACAACTCTTTTATGAAGCCTCTCAGCAAGGCCTATAAGTCTCTCTTTCTCGTTCTGGCCAAGTCTTGTTACTGGAATTCCAGTCCAACGGCTCACCACCTGCAAAAGGTATGGATCACGCATTCAAAAGCCAGTAACATAAAAATAAAATTTTGATTCAACGGTGAAAATTTATTGTAACTTACCTCTGCAATCTGATCAGGGCCAACATTTTCGGTGAGCATCAAGTTCTCACCACCAGCTTCTCCTTCTAGCTGGGCAATGGCAGCGTCAATCTCTTGTAAAGCTCCATATCGGAGATCAGCTGCTCGAGCCAAATCCATCCTACGTTCAGCTTCTTGTAATGCAAACAAAAGCTCTTCACGCTTCTGCTTCAGTCTTCTAATCTCATCTATTCTTTCCTTCTCCTTTCTGTATCTCATCACCAAAGGTTGAAGCTTGTCCCTCAAATCATCCAACTCCTTTTTAACCTGTACAAGAATAACAACGAATTTCCACATAAATATATGAAATTGAGTTTTTTGTTCGCTGACATTAACGGTTTACTTTGGCGAATCACTGAAAGGTTATTCCACTAATCCACCGACATTTGCAATGAAAATTTGCATTACTAGCCGTTATCAGTTCGCCGCAACTAGTTTTTTTAATTGAAAACATTTTTCACCTTCAAATAAATAAATGTTGATCTTCTAACTCAAAAGAATATCTAATTGGTAAAATAAATGAGAAAGAAATATAAAAAATATGATTGGTCTTTAATAGTGATGCATTGATAAAACAAAATCAAATCAAACAGAAAAGAGTATTATTTGAATACTGGATGCTAATGCTATCTAACTATCTGAAGAGCTTTGTTATTGAAAACGAATAAGCCAAGCAAATCCTATAAGAAAAGCACCAGCGAAAGAATCTCACCTCAGCAAGCCGTGATTTGCTGGCTTTATCCTTCTCCTTCTCAAGAGCGTGCATCTCGACTTCAAGTTGAATCCTCCTCCTCTCCAGATTATCAATCTCCTCGGGCTGGCTATCCAGCTGAACCCTCACATTAGCACAAGCCTCATCAACCAGATCAATAGCTTTGTCAGGAAGATGCCGGCCTTCAGAAACACAAATTAATATGTTAGCAAACAATCAGGTTTTAGTTTAAACAAAGGGGAATAAATAGATTAATGATATTCATCTACCAGTTATGTATCTTGATGAAAGTTGTGCTGCAACAACAAGAGCCCGATCTTGTATTCTAACACCATGATGGCCTTCATACCTCTCCTTCAACCCTCGAAGAATGCTAATGGTATCTGGAACACTGGGCTCAGCCACATAAACCTGCTGGAATCTTCTCTCAAAGGCTGCATCCTTTTCAACATACTTTCTGTATTCTTCCAGTGTTGTGGCTCCGATGCATCGCAACTGCCCTCTCGCAAGCATTGGCTTAAACAAGTTGGCAGCATCCATGGAACCCTCAGTTCTACCAGCGCCAAGAACAAGATGAATTTCATCAATAAATAGAATAACCTTTCCTGCCGCATCCTCTACTTCTTTGAGGACAGCCTTTAATCTTTCTTCAAACTCTCCCCTGTACTTCGCTCCGGCAACTAACGCGCCCATGTCGAGAGCAATTAGCCTCACATCCGCAAGATTGCTTGGTACATCACCTCTCACGATTCTTTGAGCCAAACCCTCAACAACTGCTGTCTTGCCGACCCCAGGCTCGCCGATGAGGACAGGGTTGTTCTTGGTCCGGCGAGATAGAATGCGAACAACTCGCCGGATCTCTTCATCCCGGCCGATCACCGGATCAAGCTTCCCAGCCTGCTCGACGAGGTCGCGGCCATAGGTCTTAAGCGCTTGGAAATTAGTATCACCTGAAGCGCTCTCGACCTTCTTGCCCTCTTTTCCCCTAAGCTTCTCGACCTCAGACCGCACCCTGGATGCAGAAATCCCGGCCTCTTTGAAGCAATCCCCAATCTGAGAATCCTCGAGTATGCCGAGAATGAGCTGGTCGACAGCGAGATGGGTATCACCACGCTGCTTCTGCGAGGATTGCGCACGTCGAATAGCCTTGATCAGAGAAGTCGAAGCCGGAATCTCATCGGGCGGAGGATGCTGAGATGGTATCTTCTTGAGCGCCTGGTTCAAAACGCGTTCGAATGAGGCGACCGCTGATTCGCCCGCACCGCCGGCAGCATTGGCAATGGCCTGGCGGAGAATCCCGGCGGGATCGCTGGCGAGTGCGTGGGCAAGGTGTAGAGGAGTGAACTGCGCATGGCCCGAGCTGATGGCGAGCTCGTGGGCGCTGGCGATGGCTTCGTTGGTCTTGTGAGTGAACTTGTCTGGATTCATTGTGAGAAAAATATCGATTATAGAACTTCTTCTTCGCTGGAAGAGAGAGGAGATCGGGGAAGTGAGACTATAAAGAGGGAAGAAGACGATTCGCCATTTGTGTGGAAAGACGGAGTGGCGAAGGGGAGAAGACGCTGGAGAACGCTGGAGAACGCTGGAGGCTTCTGGAGATAGACGCTTCGGATTTGGAAGGTTCGGTAGTTTGCGGGCGGATGCAAATATTACCTCTTTAGAATCCGAAATCCGATATGATGAGATCGAAGTGTAAATGAACCGGCGGATTTGACCTTATTTATTAATGGATAATCCCATTCTATAAATTTTATATATAGCCATAAAAACTCTATCTTAAAATAAATTATATATAATTAGAAATTTAAAAATAATTTAATTACATAAATTTTGATTTTGAAAAATTTATGATTATATATATTAAATATGTGATAACATGAATATGTAGTTATCCGAATGACAAAAAAATGAAGGCTAAGGTTTTGTTTGATATAGCTTTCTTACTACTTTCTAATACTGCTTTTTAGTATAAAATTTCTCGTTAAGAAATTTTGGTACTAAAAAAATGCTTTAGAAAATAAAAAGAAAGTTGTCTCAAACAAAACTTACCTCATATTTTTCATTCTATTCTTCCATTCTAACACAACTTGTGTGTCGCTAGTAGCGATCGAGATTGTTGCAAGTCAAGATCATCTTCGCAAAGCTCTTGATGTAAGAGAACGCGTTGGGCCAATAGATACAATGAAATAGATTGAATTACATGCAATTCCTCTAAGAACATCTATAATTATTTGAACTTGTTAAAGTTTTTAAAACCAGTTCGAGCGACGAAATAATGAGCCATTTTCATCAATTTTAAATCTTTTTTTTTATTCTTTCTTGTAAAATAAAAAATCTTTTATCTTCGAAATTTATTCTAATATTTAAATTTACTAATTTCTACAAATATCTTATGATCATTTGTGTTTGTGTTGAGTCATATCTATGCCTTTCATTGTTCATACTTCATATAACCAGCAGAGGGGGTGAAGCCTGTTTAGAAATCTCCAAATAAAGAGGAAACTTGCCTAGAGCAGCCCAAAAAAGAGAAGAAGAGCTTACCAAACAAATATGATGGCTTCAGGCTACAAATGTCCTTTGTCAATCCGAACAAAAAAACTTTCCTTTGCTGCTACTGAGCTTACTGAGGGCAAGGGTCTGTGGGATCTTTCCCTTGTGGGATACTCTTTGGGACAAAGGCCATACTATGAACGGCTCCTTGCGGCTATGAACAAAGCGTGGGAACTTAAGGGCTCTTTCTCGCTTCTCTCTCTAGCAGACGATTTCTTTCTTTTGAAGTTCACTTCCATTGAAGATTATGACATGATTTGGTCTAGTGGCCTGTGGTTCCTCCTCGGTAAGCCATTCTTCCTCCAGAAATGGTCTACGAAATTCCAACCGAAGCGAGATGAATCTGCCGCGATTCCTTTGTGGGTTAAAATTCTTAACCTCCCCCTAGCTCTCTGGACTCCTTCAGGTATTTCTAATATTGCAAGCTATATTGGTATTCCTTTATACATAGATTCCCTTACTGCTAAGAGGACTAGGCTTACCTTTGCTCGGATTTATGTTCAAGTCGATAAAAACTCTGTTTTGCCGGATGAGATTCCGTTGGAAATTGATGGTGAAGATTTAGTGCTCAAAGTTGTCTATGATTGGAAACCTTCGAGATGCAAAGATTGTGGTTCCCTCATTCATCCCTATGCTCTCTGTCCCTCTAACCCTACACCTAAACCTTCTCTTCCTCCCAAGCCTGCTTTTCATGGCAGGAGCAAGAGTCGGGCTCCGTCTGCTCGGGCTACCAGGTCTGCTTCTCGACCTATTGGCACTATCACTGCTAATCCTCCTGTCAGCACTATTCCAGCCTCAACACCCAATCTTCTGCCCACAGCCTCCCCTATACCTCAACCCATCATACAAGAACTTCCCTATTTCAGACCCTGCTATAGCACCTCCACTTATTACTTCTCTTGAGCTATATTGGTATTCCTTTATACATAGATTCCCTTACTGCTAAGAGGACTAGGCTTACCTTTGCTCGGATTTATGTTCAAGTCGATAAAAACTCCCCCCCCCCCCCCCTCCTAAATCTCAATTTACCTCACGAAGAATCCTCTTCTTCGGAGCAACCTTTCCACATTTGCTTTTACGTCCTTCCCAAGTTGTTTTAGCCAACAGCTTTGCCTCTCTCCCGGTCAATAACCCTGACAATCCTGACGATGGAACCTTTGATGAGGAAATCTCTTCCTCATCTAGATCTGAGGAAGTTCTTCTCTCTTCCTCTATCTCCAAAGCATCTCCATCTTCCTCCAAGCCTCTTTCTGATAAAACCGCTTCACCTGGCAAAAAAGCCAAGCAAAAAATGGCCAAGAAAGCCAAGAAACCAAAGTAATCAATGTCCTTGTCTGCTATAGCCGCTTGGAATGTAAGAGGGTTCAATAACCCTGTCAAAGCCAAGTTGTGTAAAGACCCTATAGCCACCTATAGCCTTAAGCTTCTTTGCATTTTAGAAGCTAAAATTCATAATCCTGCTTCCCATGATCCTTGTTTCTATTATTCCCATACTTTATTTGAGAATGAGAAGAGTTGTAACAATTTTTCATGTTCTACTCCTAGTAGAATTTGGATTAAGTGGGACTCCTCCCATGTTTCTTTTACACCCTCTTTCACCTCTTCCCAAGTTATCCACGACATTGTGGAAGCTGGTTCCCTTCCCCCTATTTACCTTTCTGTTGTCTATGCTGCTAATGAGTTGGTTGATAGAAAAGCTCTTTGGGATGACCTGTTGGGTTTTTCGGCTGGTATTGATCTTCCATGGGTTGTCATAGGGGATTTCAATTGTTGTAGATTTGAGGGAGAAAAAGCTGGTGGGAACTCTTTGTCTGCAGATAGATTGGGGGAGCTCAATAATTTTGTTTTTTATTCTGGATTACAAGATCTTGCTTCGGTTGGGCTGTTTTATACTCGGTATAACCAAAGGTGTGATAATCTCATTCACATTAAACTTGATAGAATGCTGGTTAATCCAAGTTTTTGGATTTATTTCATGCGGCTTATTACAAAGTTGAGGACCCCTCTAGGTTGGATCATTCCCCGTTAATTTTGTTTGCTGCTCATTTGAAAAGGAATTTTTCAAGGTTTATGTTCAAGGCTTTTTGGACAAACATTGATAGGTTTTGGGAGGAGGTTCTAAAGGCTTTTGATAGACAAGTTTATGCCAGTCCAATTGCCTTTTTTATGATTATTTGAAACTTCTTAAGATTGCTATTCAGGGTAAGAATTAGAGCTCTTCTAATTTCATTTCCAATGGTATTTTGGAGATGAAAAGCATTCAGCATCAGTGTTTATCTGACATTCAGATGGATCCATTAAACCAAGCATTGAATATCTCTCTTAAAGAGGCTAATGACTGTTTAGCCTCTTTCCAATATGATTGGTTTTCTTGGATCTCTCAACGGTCCAAAGCTTATTGGCTCTCTCAAGGGGAGGATGATCTTGATTTCCTTTATGCCAAGATCAGATCTAGGAAGAACCAGAATACTATCAATGAGCTTGCTACCCCTACTGGCATTCTTTCATCTCATGAGGACTTGGCACATGCTCTTATTACCCACTTTAAGGAGCTTTATAATTCTTCCAATCCTCCATTGGAAAATTCTTACAACATTCCGGTTGGCAACAAAGTTCCCACCCATTTAATTCTTGGTTTTTTAAACCCGGTTACTAATGAAGAAATCAAAAAAGTGGTGTTTGAGGGTGTCTCCACTTCAGCTCCGGGTCCTAATGGGCTTTCTTTTGGTTTATGCCAAAAGACTTGGCACATTTGGCTTTCATCTTTACAGAGCTGTCAAACACTTCTTCTACTCTGGTAGCATGCCTAGAGGGGCTAAAGCCACGGCTATCACTCTTATCCCTAAGGGTACCCACTCTAATACCATTTCAGATTTCAGACCCATCTCCTTATGCAATGTGTTTTATAAAATTGTGGCTAAAATCCTTGCTAATAGGATGAAAGCTATTCTTCCTTTTATTATTCATGAGAGTCAATCTGGGTTCATTTCTAAGAAGTGCTCTACAGACAACATTATCGTTGCTTTTGAAGTTTTGAGGGAGTTCAAAAATAGCCATAGGTATTTTTGTGCCAAGCTGGACATTAAGAAGGCTTTTGATTCTGTTTCTCGTACTTTTATGATTAACAGATTGAGGAAAAAAGGATTCTCGGAAGCTTTTATTACTTGGATTAGAAGTTGCATCTCGGATGTTCATTTCTCTATTTGTCTCAATAGTGCTTTGGAAGGCATTTTCAATTCTTCTTCTGGATTGAGGCAGGGATGTCCTCTATCTCCTCTTCTTTTCTGCATTATCATGGATGCTTTATCTTCGTGCCTTAATGTTCAAGATGCTTTTTGGGTATGAAACTTCATAACCTCAATATCAATCATCTCATGTATGCAGATGATCTTTTAGTTTTTGGGTTAGCCACGGTTGGTAATGCTAATTCTCTCAATGAGTTTCTTCATAGATTTGCTGATGCTTCTAGCCTTCACATTAAACCCATGAAAAGCTCTCTGCTCTTCTTTAAAAGTTTTACCCCTGATAATGTCATCTCTACTTGCCTTGGGATTGCTCGGGTGGATGATTTTATCACCTATCTTGGCCTTCCCATTTCCACCTCCAGGCTTAATTCTGCTCACTTCCAACCCCTACTGAGTAGGATTTCTACTCTACTTGCGGGTTGTAAAGTAAAATTTCTCTCTTTTGCAGGTAGATTACAATTTCTAAGGTTCACTATTGCCTATTGGATTCGGGGTGCTGTAATACCTAAAGCTTGCCATAAATTGATCTCTAGATTATGCTTCAAATTCCTCTTTTTTGGCAACATCACAGATAAGAAGCTTCATCTGATTTCTTGGAAGTCTATGGTTCTTCCTAAATTTAAGGGTGGTTTAGGACTCCCTTCCTTTGACTACCTCTATCATAAAATGGCCACTTCTTTTCTCTTCAGAATGTTCAACAATAATACTTTGATAGGGAACTGTTTCAGGGAGAAATTTGAGTCACCTTGGAAAACTCCTCTTTATGCTTCTAAATTCTGGAAGCTGTTCTGTAGCATGGCTACTTCCATTCTTCATGCGGTTTCCCTCTTGGTTCACAAAAGCTGCAACTTATCTTTTCTTTGGGATCCTTGGTGTAAGAAAAAAGAGTTGGCTGACTTTTACTTCTCTTATAGGCTTTCCCACTTACGGGTAAATGGTTTTATTTCTGATGACAAGTGGGCTCTCCCTACTATGTTACCTAATGAGATCTCTTCTGTTATTTCGAGCACTGATATTTTGGGGGAGCAACCAGTGCTTACTTTGGATGGCTCCCCCTCTCCTCCACCTATGAAAGTTTTGGCTTCTTTTCATGAACATGTTGAAGATGTGGTTTTGTTTAAGTTTATTTGGCACAAGGGGCATGCTTTGAGGTATTCTAGTTATGCATGGATGGCTTTGAAAGGTAAGTTGAAAACTGCAGATAATCTCATTTCTAGGGGCATTCAGGTGTCTAGTAACTGCTCTTTCTATTGTGATAATTTTGAGAATCATTCTCACATTTCTTTGAATGTGATTATTCTTTCTCCATTCTCACTGATTTGCTCTCGGTTACTGCAAAGTTCTATCTTAGGCCTAATCTTATGCAAGTTTTCAACTTTCTTGACAACATTTGAGACTTTAGTAGGAGGGATAAACACTTCTGTTATCTTACTTTGGCCACTCTAATTTACTTTACCTGGAGAGAACAGAATAACAGAAGTTCTTCTAATATTTGGAGATCTCCAACTAATGTGAAATTTGATATTATTAATGCTATTCGTGCCAAAATGTTACATTGGAATGGCTTTGAGAGGCTTAAAGATAAATTTGTTGGTATTATGGGCTGAATTTCTTGTCCCAGCTCTTTTCCTGGGTGTTTTTTCGATATTGCTGGAGCATTCCTAGATGGGAAGTTCGTTTATGTTGATCTGGGCTGTTTTTGTTATTGTTTTTGCTGCTGCTCCTTTTTCTTGCTGTGGGATGGAGGTTTATTTTAGCTGGAATGTTTTGGATAATTTCATGATTGAGACTCTGCTGCTGTGTCATTCTGCTTTTGTCTCAACGTTTGTGGTTAATGCTGAATTTTTGGATTTTGGGACGATGATGAGCAAGGACTACATCTATCCAGCATCCATGGACAGTCTTATGGCAACCAGGTTTTTGTGGAGGGGTTTATTTGGCACTGTGACGGTCTATTAGTCCTGGCAACCGGTGCCTTCTGTTGGATTCGTGGCTTTCCTTATGCCTGGCTTTGATGCCATTTGATATAGTCCTTATTTTCCTGAGTCCGCTTAATTTTAATCCTAATTTACTTTAAAGTTTTCTTTTCTTACTTTCGATTTTGGGTGGTATAATTTTCTATACTTACTTGTAACTACTTTTTGTAACTTTTATTGATTAATATATGGGCTTTTGACCCCAATTCTCCAAAAAAAAAAAAAAAAGCTACAAACTTCCTTATTGCTTTTTAAAGCTACTTTCTAATACGAAATTTTAAATTTTGTACTAAAAAGCTGCTTTAAGAAATAGTAAGAAAGTCATCACAAATAAAACCTTAGTCTTAAGAATATGTAAAATTAATTAAGTATTCTAAATACATTCAATAGTGCTAAGCAAAGTCCTAAGTGGTATTAGACATCATTTCATCTGCGTGCTTATTCATCTTTTTATTTTCCTAGGTTCTCATAACCTATTGAGTATTGATGTTAATATTTGATACGATTTGAATACCCGAAAAAGAAATTTCAAATATGGATCAACCTGTTTAAAAAATGGGTTGGATTTGAGTTCTATATTCTAACCCAATTACAATTTCAGGCCAAATTCTGGTCAATCTGAAAGCTACCAAAAACTAACCCGTTGTGTTTTCCACTGCATTCGCCCGCTTGTGGCGCTCGTTGTGTGCACTAGCCCACTCAACTACCCACGCTCGATCAATCGAGTTAGAGGCGGGTTGGGTCAAATCAGGTTAGAGGCAATTCGGGTTCATGTTCGGGTTTGAATTTGTGACCCGTTTACCTAATCGGGTCAAGTGAGTTGGACCCAAACCCAATCCAAAAACCTATTTTGGCACCCCTACCTATGAGCAAACTTGCCTAGAAAATTCATGCTCAAAATATTAACAATTCATAAGATTTTCATTAATTAAACTAACTGATGAAGAAAAAAGAAATACATTATAAGAAATCCACCATACCTTCAAAGCCCTTGTTGAATCAAAATTATGCCAAAAGAATTTCTCACATCATAAGATAAAATAATCTCGAGTAAGAAATAAAAGTCACATAATTGTGTCATAAATTCACATATACCCTATATGCAAGGTCTCAAATTCGAAAAATTATTCTATGCGGAAACCGGTGGCAGAACGTCGTCCGGATACCAACCAAAAAGTGGTGCCGCGCATGGGGGTGACATGGCGCATTCTGATTGATTTACGGACCACATTCGCTGTTTGCACGAAATAATTAATCCTCAACTTAAAGATCAATTGATTGAAAGCCTAAGTGCACAACCAAGGAGCTAAGATAGAATGTACAGTTTCTTCCAGGCCATAAAATGAGAAAATTATTAGGTCCGGACAACGAACCTAGAAATAGGTCTGGATCCAATAAAAAGTTGCCACGTGGACAGCGCTTTGACAGCGCTTTGGATGCGCTTTGATTACGCTTTACCTGCGCTTGACTTAAAATTTCGCGAACACGTGTACATTCCACGCGTCAAATTTTTAGTGGATGTCCGGACGTATCTCTACGTTCGGTGTCCGGACCTAATAATTTTCCCATAAAATGGAACCAATCCTTTGATTCCATCAATCATCTCAATATAACAACAAAGATAGATAAATCTGTCAAATCCCATCGAATTTTGGGCTGATGGAATCATAAAATCAACCATAAGAAAATGTCAGGAAATAGGAGATCTTAGCAGGTTTATCTGCTCCTGAATAATGGAAGTATTCAACCACAGTTCAGCAGAAACTTTTGCATTGTAAGATAGAGAGGAGGAACCCATCCTTCTTCCCTTTCCTCCAAAGAAATACTCTCCTGACACATTCTGAAAAAAAGAAAGGCATGAGGAAAAACATTGAATTTTGATACAACAGATCATTACAATACCAAAATACTCACAGAAGGTGCCAATGCAGCATCTATAATTGAAGAGACACCAACTTCCGGAGATTGGAGAAGGTGCAAGAAGCTTAGAACTCTGAAAGCCAGTTGAGAAAGGCATGGAGGAACTTCCCGAAGTATGTTGGTCTGGACCACCCCAGGATCAACAGGGCTGGAATATACGGAGTGTAACTTTAATAGTAATAGATCTAGTGGATCTAGTGGGAGGATTGTGACTTTGAGCAATCAATTCATTTATAAGAATACCCGTTTTAAATATTTTGAATTTATTGTTCAAAGTGATGCTGAAATAAATGGAAATATTATTAGTATAATTCAAGTTTATAAGAATACCATTTTTAACTATTTTTGATTTATTGTTCAAAGTGATGCTGAAATAGATGGGAATATTATTAGTAGAATTTAAGTTGGATGGTTGAAATTGAGGAATGGAATGCATCGGGCTTGTTGTGTGATAGAAAAGTCTCCCTCAAACTTAAGGAAAAATTCTATAAGATGATGGTGAGAAGCCAATGCTTTATTGCGCAAAATGTTGGCCCTTAAAAAAGAATCATAATACTACGTGTTGCAAGGATGAAGATGCTCAGGTAGATGAGTAGTTTTATCTTTTAGAGATAGGATACAAAACGAGCATATACATGAAAAGGTTGGAGTAGCTCACATGGAAGATAAAATTCGCCTTAGATCGTTTGGTCGCATAAAATAGCGACCTTCTGATGACCCGGTTAGGAGAGTAGATTTGGCTTATGTTAAGAAATGTAGAGACATAAAAAGACTTGGTTAAAAAAATATGAGAAATGACATTTCTTTATTAGATTTAAATGAAAATTTGACTCTTAATAGAAGACAATGGATAAACATGATTCATTTAGCCGACCCCACGTAGTCGGATAAAGTCTTGATGTTATCGTTATCATTGTATAGTATCATGAGCCTTAAGCTGGAAATATTATTCTTTAAAACTCATAAACTACTTTTTATGAATTCTTTGGGTAGGTTATGTAGAGAAAAACAAATACTTAAGGTCTATTTGGGGATACTGTAGTATTTAAAGTAACTCTAGAGCTATTATTGGGCAAAAAACTTCTGTTAAAACTGTTATAAAACTTATAATTTTTTTTCCTCCTAGAAAAGTTGGGACGGTGGTTTTGTATAGCTTTCATACTCTAATAAATCTGATTTTAAAAAGCTGCTTCTCATAGCATAAATTTCTAAAAAATATAGCAAGAAAGTAGTAGCAAAAATAAAGGTTAAAAAAATAAAACAAAACAGTGAACTAATCGCCCCAAAAAGACCTTTAGCTGGATAAGACTTGGGTTAGACTAACTAAATGAAAAAACTGCAATATTTAGTACCTCCCAACTTCACTTTGATGTAGGAAAAATTATCAAAGTAGGTTTTTGTTCTGTTTCACAAAAGGATACCATACTAAGCTTGCGCAATATCAATGTTGAGTTCTAGACTTACATGACAGAAACTTTGGACGATGGATTTTCTGCATGGAGTTGACGGTGGAGCTCATATGAAAAAAGCAATAAACACACTGTCAATATAGAGCATCAAGTCAGAAGGCAGAAACAGAGCCACTATACGTTATTTATCTCTTAAATAACTTACACTTGGAGTACTCATAGATAGAAGCAAATGGATACTTCTTTGAGATTGCCATATGACTAAATTTTTTGCAATCAAGCTTCAAATTAGATGCTGCAAAATAAACAAAGTGAAGATTTCTAGTAGATAGCCTTAAGAGCTCATAAAATGAAACTAAAAAACTTGAGTTTCACATTAAAAGTAAGTATTCTTGATGCTAATGAAGAAGCAAGTGGGTCATGTGATCTAGATAAATAAGGGACATCAAGTAACGCCACCAACTCTTAATAAATTATGCAAGAGAGAAGAAGAAAAACCTGGCCAAAAAGACAAGAACTCCATGATTTCCAATGCAAGGATTTTCATATCAATTAATAGTTGAAGTACAATAATGGAATTTAAATCCCTTATCAGATAGTATGTTAGACTAGTCCAGCCGGTTCACGCAGGACCGGCCCAGGCGCGAAAGAGGCGGAACTTCTCCGCCTCCTGCTCTAGCCGCATGAGCCGCATGATCCACGGGAGCCAATTTAGAATGATTTTTTTAAAGAGTTAGGAGGGAAACTTGAATGTAGGAACTGTTTAGAGATTTCCTTTTGAATTGTATACATTAAATATCTTGTTTTTCTAGGATTAGGGCATCTTGCATTTCGCTGATTTTGGGATCTCTTAGGTTTAGGTTATGGGCTCTAGATTCGTCTTGAGATTGGGAGAGATTGATCCTCCTCTCGAATAGAGGATCACTCGTATCTTGTTGTTTTCTTCCGATCTATTTGATTCTTGCAATAAAATTACTGTTTTTCTGGTTTGCTTCTGGAGTTTGGAAGAGTTTCTCGCTGATTTTTTGAAATTGAAAAGGATTTACTTGAAATTTTCAAGTGTTTCCTATCATAATACTTGTTGGACTTTTCTTCTTTTGTCCCACCGTTGCGAATATGATCAGGTGAACATTAGACCTTTTTGGGAAGCTCTTTATTCGTTGTTGCGAATATGATCATGTGGATATTGAGCTGTTCTCATTTGTAGTTGAGATGTGGTTAGGAGAATGCTGAACTCCCTTTCTCTTCTCACCCTTTGTCTCGCTGTTGCAAATATGGTCAGGCGAACATTGGGTTGTCCTCATTCACTGTTGCAAATATGGTCAAGTGAATGTTGGACCTTTCTTCTTTTGTCCCACCGTTGCAAATATGGTCATGTGGACATTAGACCTTTTGGGAAGCTCTTTATTCGATGTTGCGAATATGGTCAGGTGGATATTGAGATGTTCTCATTCGTTGTTGCAAATATGGTCAAGCGAATGTAGAACTCCCTACTTTTTTTTACTCCTTGTTTTGTTGTTTCAAATATGGTCAAGCAAGCATCGAGTTGTCCCCATTTGCTGTTGCGAATATTGTCAGGTGGATGTGGGACCCCTTTTGTTTTATCTATTCTGCTATTGCAATATGGTCAGACAGATAAATGATTCCCTATCTTTGGTTAGTCTCCCTTATCACTTTACTTTGATTATTACTCTTTTGCTATTTGATATGATCTTCAAATAATTGTTGGATTCCTTTTTCTTCGTATCATCTTAGATATTTTTTGTAAGTGATCGTTGAATTCCATTTGATTCTTTGTGATTTTGCTTTGTTTTGCTCATGTGAGCATGAGACTCTGATTTCCTTCTCCTATTCTACCATTTTGGTTGGATAGATAGTTGATTTTCTCTCTTTGTCTCTCTCTTATTGCTGATCTAGTTCTCATTAGGTGATCCTAAGGTTGCGTTTTCCTAGAGATAGGGAGGTCAACGCCAACATATACGATTCATTTGTTGTTCTCCGTATATATTGGGGGTCCGTTTGTTGACCTCATTTTTCGTTCGAGTATTCTCGAGCACCTTCGATTGACTTAATTAGACCTCGTCGAGCCCAATTCGAACTCGAATCAATCCGAATTGATTTAAATTAGACTCGACTACGTTCAATTAGGCTCGATTAATTTATCTTGGTTGCATCGAACTCAATTTGATTTAAATTAATATTAATTTGGCTGCAATTTCGTCGGCATAGCTAAGTCGAACCGTCTCGAGCCCAAACTAACCTGGATTTTGACCTAGAATTGAGCCCGGTTTCAGCCCAAATCTGAGTCAAACCAGCTTATTTTGATTTAAACAAACTCCAATTGACTTTTGGCTTAGTTTGAATCATTTACTAAATCCGGTAATTACCTCAATGACTGCGATTAAATGAAATCTTCGTTTCAGCCCAAATCTCGCGTTTCAGGCGATCTCCTATAACTCGGGCAGACATCGAGCAGCGAGCAGGTCTTTTTTGAGATAATTTCAAAAGCTGAAGCGAGAGAAGACGATAGGCGGGCATCTTCTCTCGGCAAAGAGATTCATTTTACTCAAAAACGAAGGCTCTCGACTTCCCTATTCGCACTCTCTCCCTCTCTCTCTCGATTTCTCTTATTCACAAAACCAAACTCTTCCCTATTCGCACCGCCCCCTCTCTCTCTTTCTCTCTCTCTCTCGATTTTGCACAACCCAGGCGGAACCCCTCTTCCCCTCCATCTCTCTGCGTTCGCGCGAGCTAGAGGCGGAACCCCCTCCTGCTTCCGCTTTCGGCTTCGCACGCCCGGACCGAACCAGACGCCTCACTCCCGGTCGAAGCCGCTCGGATCGCAACTTCCCCTGCTCCTGTCGCTCCTTGCATTCGGTCCTAGCCTTAGTCATCGTTCATCCCTTCTCCTCTTTGCAATGTAAGTGTTCTTCTTCTTATTCTTCTTCTTCTTCTCTCAGTCTTCTTATTTCTATTTCTTCTCCTTATCCTTTACTGCTTCTACATTTTCCTATTTCACCATGATAACTTAAAAAAAAATGTATGATGTTGAAATCCCTTACAAAATCTGAAATTTTTTTCCATGTGTATGCTCCCATATTTTCTTATTGAAATGATTGTCATATGAATTGTGAAACTCTTGTGTAGATTATTTAGAGGATTCCAATCCGGTAGGTGTGCAAATTGGATTTCCATGCTAGCTTGTTTCATGTGATCTTTTAAATATTGCACATCAAGTGTTTGACTAAATGTCATAGGATGAAGGTTAAGATGATTGGTTAATTGCGATTCATGAAACTCAAGCTTACATGTAAAATTTCTTCACCAATTGACATATTAAGTGTGAAGATTTCATATCATTGTCTTTCTACATTTGTGAGAGCTTAGACATGACTATGTTTGCTAGAGCTTTCTCTAAATTCTTCCATGTTGAATGCTTAATATTTCTTGTGAGGATGATGACTGAGGTTGCAAATTATAGCTCGTGACGTATTGATCTCATGGCTTCTTTTCTACTAATTTTCTTTGAACAATCAATTTCTTGTCAATGGATTATACAACATGACTTGCTTGTTTGAGCCCAAAAACCTATTGTTAACGGTAAATAAGAATGACTATATATTCATCAACTTATGGTTGGAATGACTTATTGCTAGTAATTTGATGATGCGTCCATTGTCATTTCTTGCTATCTAATTTTGTTATATTTATTTGATTATCAAATGGAGTGTTAATTATTTTAGAAAGTGATGATAGTTATTGCTAGCTATGAATGATTTCATATGGTGTAAACAAAATATAGTTTTGACTTATATTATTTATAAAAAAAATGAACAATTGGTTTGTAGAGCTTGAACTTGAGTCATGTTACATGATTTAACAGTTTATGTGTAAGCAGTTGCAAGTCTTGAGAGGTAATGTTGTATATTTACTAAAATGCGCATACAAAGTATTTATGGTAATGCATATCTATTAGAAAAAAAGTGAATGAGATTTATAAGCAAGATGCTTGTGATCATATCAAGTATTCATATAACTTCATTATTGCATAATTAGCATTCGATTGGAGACATCGATTTATGAATGACATGTTTAGTTGCTTATGCGTTATAATTAAAAAAATAAAATTATTTTTTTGTCGACCTTATCGGTAACAAGATAGCTTTTTGATATGTTTAAATGTTATTTTTCTTCTTAAGAGAATGTGAAAGCTCTCTCTTCATCTTGATGAATCATTGTTGGCAAGCATTGCTTCTTTGTGGAAACCCCTACGTCTCTTATATTGCTTTTCTCGCTGATTTTGTGGAAAAAACGAGTGCAGATTTTAAGGGATTTTCTCACTATTTTTACGCAAGAATCCCTATGACATTTTAGTAGATCTTTCATTGCTTCTTTGTAGAAATTCCTATAGTTTTAATAAAATTTTTCTCACTGTTTTTGTAAGAAATGAGTGCAGTTTTTTAGGGGCTTTCTCACTGATTTTACGCAAGAATTTTTATAGCATTTAGGAGAAGCCTCTTTGCTTTCATGAGACTATAGCATTTAGGAGAAGCCTCTTTGCTTTCATGAGAAAATTCCTATGTCTTTTTTATAGTCTTTTTCACTATTTTTTGTGAGAAATGAATGCAGATTTTGATGTGTTTTGTTCTCCAAACTGATTTGGAAATGAGTTAGATGCATATTTTCACTTGTTTTATACTTCAAACTATTTTTATAAATAAATTTTGAAGAATGTTTATATGTTTTCTTCTTTAGAGAATTTTATGTCTTATTGGAAGATTTCTTTGAATAACTATATTATTGGAAACTTTACAAAAAGCTTTGCGAGTTGTTTTACATCGAAAAATTTTATATTGTATCTTGTGAATGTTTCATGATAGAAGACTTCACAATGATTTCTCATTGAGAAACTTTTCACGAGTTTACCTCACATCAAATATGAAAAGCACTTAATTGTTTTTTTGTTGAAAAAATATTTTGGTGGATGATTTATGCAAGGTTATTATGTATCATTTTATTTGAAAATTTTTATAAATAATTTTTAAGATTTATAATTTTATAAATAGCTTTGTGTTTGAAAGCTCTTTAGTGTCTTCTTGAAGCAAAATGATCTTTCTTATATGAGTTATATTTCTTTAGTGTTTGTTTTTAAAAAGTTAGATTTTGGATGAAAACAAAACAAAAGAGGACTTATTTTGAGTTTAGTTCTGGGAACTTGTTCCCCTTTGCCGTTTTGAGTTTTATTTAGAAAATAGTTTGGTGAGTTGTGTCAAATGTATCAAGTGCTTCGTTTGG